TTGGACAGCTATACATAGTTGACACAGAGAATGAAGTTGAAAACAGAGCTAAATGTTTAAGGTATAACATTCAATATTCAAATATGTGTTTCTTATATTCAAGTAACTAACATGTTCCTTTTATAAAATAATTTACAGCTCTGGAAAACAGAAAGTTCAGGTAAAAAAATCATCTAATCGTCTGAGATATTTGAAATTAAACAACCTTCTTTACGATCTGATAGTTATGACTTCATTAATGCAGGCAAAGTGGATATGAATGAGCAAGGATCAGTTTTTACATTACCAGCTTCATTTGTGGGTAGTCCTAGATATATGAAAAACAATTACTTGGATGCTATGACAATATGTAAGCACTTTGGATTTCCAGATATGTTCATCACTTTCACATGTAATCCCAAATGGCCAGAGATTACAAGATATGTTAAAGCGAGGAAGCTGAAAGCTAAAGATAGATCAAACATAATTTGTAGGATTTTCAAGATCAAGCTTGATTTGTTGATGGATTCTTTAACCAAGAAGAATATATTGGGAGAGACACGATCATGTAAGTTAATATCGGCTTTAATATATGTTTAAAATTCTTCATATAATTTAACTTCTATTAGTGCTGACTATATGTAATTTGTTTTTTTATGACACAGCTATGTACACAATTGAGTTTCAGAAACGTGGATTACCACATGCTCACATTCTCTTATTCATGAAGTAGATAAAGGTTCCCACAACAGACGATATTGACAACATTGTTTCTGCAGAGATACCTAATAAAAAGGAAGAACGAGAACTTTATGAGGTCATTAAGGATATGATGATTCATGGTCAATGTGGAAGAGCAAATAAAAATTCTCCATGTATGGAGAATGGGCGTTACTCTAAATCATATCCTAAATAATTTGCTGAGAAGACGAGTATTAATAAAGAAAGATTTCCGGTTTACAAGAGGCGCCAACAGTCTGAAAACTTTGTTTTGAAGAATGGAGTGAGATGTGATAATCGATATGTTATTCCTTATAACAGAAAGTTGTTTCTTCTTTACAGAGGTCACATTAATGTGGAATGGTCCAACCAAGTTGGGTCTATCAAGTATTTATTCAAGTACATAAATAAAGGACATGATCATGTCACAGTTGCTGCTGAACCACCAGACCACATTGTTGCAAGTGAGTTAGGAGATGTAGAGATTACTAAGGAAACTCGTGAAAAGAAAAGGAATGAACTCAAGGAATTTTTAGATTGCAGGTCTATTTTTTTTATAAGCAGTATATCATTTTCTTAACTAATGTGTGATTTTAACGTTTACCAATTTGTTTTTGCAGATATGTTTCAACATGTAAAGGAACATGGAGAGTCTTCAAATTTCCTATTCACTATTGATCAACTGCTGTAGAGAAGCTTAGTTTTCATCTTCCAGGAAAGAAAGTTGTCACATTCAAAGGAAAGGATAAACTGAAAGCAGTTGTCACTCGGAAGCTCATTCAAAATACAATGTTTTTGGCTTGGTTTGAGCTGTGAAAAATTGTGTCCCTTGCTAAAATATTGACCTATGCTCAGATTCCAAACTTCTTTATTTACGATAAAAGGTCAAAGAAGTTCAAAAGACGGAAACGAGGATTTTCTCTAGATTAATTATGTTCCTAAGACCCAGGAATATGCTTATTTCTTGCGTGTATTGTTGAACATTGTCAGAGGACCCACCAGTTATGAGGACATTAAAACATATCAAGGTGTTCTATATCCGAGCTACAAAGAAGCATGTTATGCTCGTGGGATATTAGATGATGATGAGGAGTACATTGATGACATAGTTAGAAGGAGTTTTGAAAACACATCAAGTGAGCTACGGAAAGTGTTTATTATGATGCTCATGAGTAACACTTTATCTAAGCCATAGTCGGTATGGGAAAACACTTGGCAGTTTTTGTCTGAAGATATTGAGCATTCCAGGAGAAGAAATTTTAATAGACCAGGTTAGACTTTTATTTTTTTTTCCATTATTGTGATAAAATTCTAGAGTTTTCTTAAGTAATTTAATTTATAATTTGTTTGCTTTCCTATCTTATCTTATTCATTTCAGTTCTATTTTTAAGTGATGATGACAAAAAGAAGTATGTTTTACTAGAGATAGAAAAAAGTTTGAAGCGGAATGGTACTTCTCTAACAAGGTTTGAATCTATGCCTAAACTACCAAGGACAAGCAGTAACGAAGTCGGCTGTCATGTCTTGGCTGTTATCTTCATTTGCATCTTTTATATTGCTACTTGATATTCTCAACGTCCAATATCATGCAAAAATGTTAAAAAGTTTTATGATTGTCCTAAATGATGATTTAATTTATTTATAAAAATGACAAGACAGTCATATCTAACTCAGAAAACGTACGTTTGATCCGCTTACATGATCACTATGCCTTACCAATACTTCAGGTTACAGTTGATAAACACATATCTTCTTCACCATGACTCTGAATGATCTTTTCTGCATATCCTTCACCATTACTACACCTGCTCTCTGTTTCGCCATAAACAATTCTTAGACTATATTAATAATACATCATGCCAAATAACCAATATTTATAAATTCTAATTTTTCATAACTGAGACCCATGCATAGAGATGAGTCATGTAATCGTCTATGATCTTCATAATAACTAACTCTAAAGCTCCAATTTCTTTTCTCTTACGAAGAACCTGAATAGCCAAATTTGTAGATTTCTCTTTCATTTTAATTAAGACCATCTACGCTATGAAATGAAAAATATAATTGGAAATTTGTTCATACCTTTGCATCGAACTCAAATCTAACATCGAAAAATTAATCTTCCGATGGATTACTTGATACTCGTGAACAAAGACAATCTTCAGTTGTTACTTTACCCATAACGTTGTTTTGTTTTCAAGTTTACCATGGTACGGGCTTTATCTCTCAAAGAGATGTGTCTTCTTATTTGAAATCTCCGATCATGTTTAAAAAATCCTAACACAAAATATAGATTAGGACAACTAATCGAAATAGATAAAGTTTAAACGGGAAGGTATAAACCTAAACCTTTAAGCCATGACCGGAGGTACAAATCAGTAGATCCATCTTCTGTTCTCATTCTTCTAAAAGAAATCAAAGGCGTTTAGGAAGATCTCGTCACAGGACAGCACCGACAGATAGATCGATCCGTAGAAGAAAAAGTATTTTCTAGGGGATGCCATGTAACAAAAACATATTTCTGTTTTTTTCGGAAAAAACAAATTTGGGCCTTTTTATTTGGGTTTGAATTAATACAAAGCATACATATTTTAAAATCATAAAGTAATGAGCCAAATCAAATTTTATGTTTGGCTTGTTTTAGTTTTTATTGTTTTTTTCCCTAAAAGCTATATAAACAACAATTTATAATATCTTTAAAATGACATAATTCTATATATTGTTATTTAATAAAACTTTAAAAACCTGAAGCTATATAAACATTCATTTTAAATAAGTTTTAAATGACAAAAATTATTTGATCTCATCTATTAAAATGAAAAGTATTATTTTAATGTTCTAATATTATACACTTTATATTTAGTTTACCAAGAAAAAATCACAATACAATATAAAAAGAATACAATCTCAGAGTTTAAAAATGCACATTCAACAAAATCAACAAGATACATCAAGTTATAATCTCAAAAACATGGAACAATAACATGAATATTTTTAAAACAAGCAAAAATATATTATTACATTGAAGAACATACAGCCGCGCGGGAGTGGATCAAAAGCTAATTAGAATTAAGAAGATAAAAAATTGTAAACTGAACAAAAAAGCACATTATTTTAATAAATTTATCTTGCAAAATATGCTTCCTTAATCAAACATAATTTCGGTTTATTGTATAAAAATCATACTTACAGCATAAACTACAACAGACTACAGTTATATGGTACTGCATCTTTATTTTGCACTACTATTACCAAATCTGCAGTTAGTATTCTAATCGTAAATCAATGAAATTAAAAAAAAAAGTACCCACAGCCACACATGATGAAGCTACGACGTCGGTAGAGAGAAATCGCCACTCAATCCAGGGCGAGATGAAGTTGCATTGTTCCCTCTCAGGGAAGACGCATGGCGTATGTTACCACTCAACTCGGCTCGATTTCAGTGCGGGTATGTTATCAGGCCAAGGAAGCTTCGCTTAGGCCTTCTCCGAAAATAACAGCCACTAGTCCTTTAGGTCAAATTCAACTCGTTTAGAATTGCTACCACACTCAGGTACATTGTCATTCAGTTTCTGCCTGTAAATTGATGTTTAGTTTATAATCGTTTGCTTTCACGAACACTAGAGCTGCAATGTACACTCTTTTCAGTTAACTTCACTACATATTTAAATTTAATCAAGGGTCTTCGCTCGTTCATATTTGGCGTTAAATTTTCCTTTAGATTCAGCTTCCTATGATTAATGTAATACGTTTTTTTTTTTTAAATTTGATGCATTTCTGTCTAAATGCAAGTGTCTGTGTGTGACCTTTTCCACCTTAAACTGTTTTCTTCTTCGTTTGAAATGTTTCTCTGTTGGAAAGTATTTTATTTAGACCTGCAAAGATGGTGGTGGGGCTTGGTCTTCATGATTGGAGATTAGTGGAGAATATTCCTAAACCAGGTAGTGATTGACAAGTCTCACTTATCCTTTTTTTAATTATTAGAGCCACCCTTTACTTTAATATTTTACGTGTGATGGCTTAGAACATGCTTATGCGGGATGTCATTGTTGTCTGGTTAATAGTCTCTCATTACATTTTCTAAGTCAACTCTTTGTTCTCGATATATATAATGGCTAGTAATATTAAGAAATCAAGGTGGACTTGGCGATGAAAAAGATTGGACATCATATTATATACTGGGAAGTTCTGTCTTGAACGTGTTTTGCAGCTGGAGAATCTATCATCCACCATTGTTGCAGACCACAAAATTCGTCCAGGATAGTCTGATTCTCTTCTTCTTTTTCTTTCTCTTGTCACAAATGGCTCAAGGATTGCATCTCACTCTGATGATCTTCTTTGTTCATCTGATCTGCATTTCGAGTCAGCAGGAGACAGGGTTTATCTATAATGGCTTTGGCCAAACAGACCTTTATACTGATGGCGTTGCAAGAATTCTTCCCGAAGGACAGTTGCAGCTAACCGATGGATCCGGGCAGAAAATGGGTCATGCTTTCTTCAAGAAGCCTTTTGAGTTCACTTCACCTGAATCACTCTCTTTCTCAACACATTTTGTGTGTGCTCTGGTGCCTAAGCCAGGATATATTGGTGGTCATGGCATCGCCTTTGTTATGTCTGCTTCCATGGATCTCACACATGCAGTTGCAACTCAATTCTTGGGACTTTTTAACATCTCGACTCACGGATCTTCCTCTTCTCATCTAGTCGCTGTTGAGCTTGATACTGCCCTCAGCGCTGAGTTTGATGACATCAATGCCAATCATGTTGGTATCGATGTCAACAGCCTTATCTCTATCGAATCTACCCCGGCTTCTTACTTTTCCGAAATTAAAGGTAAGAACGAAAGCATACAGCTTTTGAGTGGAGCTCCTATTCAAGTCTGGGTGGACTACGGAGAAAACGTAGTTAATGTTTACCTGGCCCCTCACAAAATTCAAAAGCCAAGTCAGCCTCTTTTATCAACATCTCTTAATCTTTCAGAATCTTTCCCAGATAGAAAGATATTTATTGGGTTCTCTGGAGCGACAGGGACATTGATCAGCTACCAATACATACTAGGGTGGAGCTTTAGTAGAAACAAGGAGTCACTGCAGACCCTGGATGTCACTAAACTTCCTCGAGTTCCTCCTCATAAAGCTAAAAATGAGAGACCATCAGTGCTGCTTATTGTTCTGCTCATATTACTGGCAGTCGTATTGTTTTTGGTTCTTGGAGCAGCTTTTGTCTACAGGAGAAGGAAATATGCTGAATTAAGAGAGGAATGGGAAAAAGAATATGGTCCACACCGCTTTTCCTATAAAGCTTTGTACAAAGCTACACAAGGGTTTCACAAAGATGGACTTGTCGGAAAAGGAGGTTTTGGAGAAGTGTACAAAGGAACTCTGCCTTCCAATGGGCAAGTAGCAGTGAAAAGAGTGTCACATGACGCAGAGGAAGGGATGAAGCAGTTTGTGGCTGAAATCGTGACAATGGGTAATATGAAGCACAAGAATATGGTTCCACTTCTTGGTTACTGTAGAAGAAAAGGTGAATTACTTCTGGTATCTGAATACATGCCCCATGGTAGTCTTGACCAATACTTGTTCAATGACGATAAACCTGCCTTTTCATGGCGTCGAAGACTTATAATCATCAAGGATATAGCTTCAGCTCTCAATTACATGCATACAGGAGCTCCTCAAGTTGTTCTCCACCGGGATATCAAGGCTTCTAATGTTATGTTAGACGCTGAATACAATGGAAGGTTAGGGGACTTTGGTATGGCAAGGTTCCATGATCATGGAGCAGACCCTGCTACAACTGCCGCTGTGGGAACCATTGGCTACATGGCACCGGAGCTTGTTAGCATGGGAGCTTCCACTGCAACCGACGTTTATGGCTTTGGTGCCTTTTTACTTGAAGTATCATGTGGGAGAAGACCCGTTGAGCCTGCGTTGCCAGAGGAAAGAAGGTCTTTAGTTAAGTGGGTCTGCCAATGTTGGAAGATGGCTTCTTTGCTCGGAGCTAGAGATCCGAGATTGAGAGGTGAAATCTCAGCTGAGGAAGTGGAAATGGTATTGAAACTTGGATTGCTTTGCATGAATGCTGTGGCTGAACTGAGACCTTCGATGGAAGAAGTCATGCAATACTTAAATAAAAGCCTTAAGCTGCCTGATATCACCCCAAATTCTCCTGGTATCGGGTCCTTTGTACCACTGATTATGGGATCAAACCCCCTCCCTGCCTCCCCCACTACGGAGACCTTGTCAGCATCACTTTACTCTTCTTCCTCAGCCAACGACTCTACATTTGTCACTCACTCAGTTGTCTATGGCCACGGACGGTAAAATTTGGGAAATTTCCTCTTTTATTGTCTTAGTTTATTTGGAATGAGAAAATCAATGTTAGGGTTGTGTGAAGTAGCTTTAGTTGGCAGGAGTACGTGCCATTGTGCTCCATTTGTGAAGTTTATTTCAATATATGACACAAAGTTATCCCGCATTGAAAATTAACGTTTGGAGTCTTTTTGTAGAAATGCCTTTTAAGCTTTGTAAATTTTTGATGTGTATTTGCACCAAAGTTTTGCATCTTTTTATTTGTATATTTCCTTCTACGTTAAGTTTATTGCATTTTCCTGTAACTAAGATTTTTGTACAGATATTTACAAGTTGTTCTTCACTCTAGTGTCTGTTATTTTGAACTCATTCTGCGAAATCTCGAATAAAATAAATACTTTTGTACCACAAGCCCCAGATTCGCAAAAACCAGTGTTCTGGTTCTCTGGAATCAGCAATGACTTTCCACCTGGGAGGGTTGGATCTTATTTCCATTATATTTTTCATATGTTCTCTTATTTTACTGGTTTTCTTGAATAGTTGAAATGAGTTTAGTTTCCTCAGTGGAGTTGAGTGGCTTCACATGAGAGCATCATCAAGTTCCCGGCTGAACTAAGATTGTAATCAGAGATGATTGTTTCATCCCATGAAAGGTAAACGTGTAGAGGTTTTTTCTGAACTGTTGACGACTAATATTTTGTTCTTATATCCAGTGACACATTTAGCTATGATCTGGGGTAATAGAAAGATGATGCCCTCGAATAATATCATAATTCATAACTTGTCGAACTATAGAGGATTTAAGAATATAGTTAGCTATTTGTCTCCTTATGTTCCTTTATTGGTTGGATGAAAGCGCTTACAAGGAATGATGAAAGAACTTGCTACTGTTTCTTTGATGTCAACACTATTAGATATTCCATGTGTGTGAAGGCAGAATTCACGGACTTAAATAAACTAGTGTGAGAAACGTGCTCTGTTTATTGAGGTCAACAATAGACTACGGAGTCAATTTTGAATTGATGATTTTTCTCATAGATAGAATACACCTAAAAAGGTGCCAATCAAATAAAGAAACTGTAGCTTTGAGGATGTTAGTTTGTTGAAGAGAACAGAGGAGAAGACTTCAATGTTAAGACTTTATTTTCTTTGTTTTGACTTGTCTAAGCTTGATTTCATTCACCTACTTCAGTATTCTATAAACGGTGGGTGCTTGGCTTTTTTAGGCTTTTGTTCCTTTTACATTTGAGTGCCTTTCCCTCTTTAATAAGCGTCATAAGGTATCTTTTAAAGATGATAAATATAAGATAATGAAACTTTTTGTTGGCTACCGCGTGTAGCAGTTACCTTGTTCTTCTGCTGATGCTGTGTCGACGTGAAGCGGTTCGTAATATATAAATATTAAACAGGCTTCGCTGTACTTTTTTAAAGCCAATAAAAAGTTACCACTAACATAAGTTTACATCTTGTTTTCTGCAGCGAGCAATGTTTAATCAGAGAGAGAGAGAAAGATCTGCTTAGAGAAGAAGAGAACTCTCGAATCCATCAGCACAAATGGCTCGTGGATCGCTTCTGATCTGGTATTACTTTAAATTATTTGTTTTCTTACTCAGCTTCATAAATTATACAAGTAGCTGTCGTCTGAGAAAAATCCGGGGAAAGATTGTGGGAATTGATTCCAATGCACATGTAATGATTAATTTAATTGTTTTTGCTGTTTGTTAGTACGCTTCTAGCACGTTCCTAATGTTTCTTTGGATTCAAATTTGGATTAAGTTGTGTTAAACTAATATCTGAATTTGAACATTTGAAAACCATGTGAAGTTTTGTTGATTTTTATAATGTTATCAAGCTGTTGGTTTTACCAATAAAGAATTGCATGTTGTTGATTGATGCTAGTAGTTCTTATAAATCACATTTACTTTATCAGAGAGGAAAGATCTACACAGAGCTCTTTGTTTCATCAGCAGCAATGTCTAGTGGATTGCTTCTGTTCTTCTGGTTAATCTCCTTTTTTCATCTTATATCTTTGTCAACTTCATCAAAAGATACCAGTTTTGTCTTCAACGGCTTTGGAAAAGATAAGCTTTCTCTTGATGGGTCAGCTACGTTATTGCCCAGTGGATTACTGCAGCTTGCTAAAGATTCGCAGCATCAAATGGGGCGTGCTTTCATCAAGAAGCCCATCGAGTTCAGCTCCTCTAAACCACTCTCATTCTCAACACACTTCGTCTGTGCTCTGGTGCCTAAGCCAGGAATCGAAAGCGGCCACGGCATTACCTTTGTGATATCTCCGACAGTGGATTTCACTCGGGCGCAGCCAGGTCGGTACTTGGGGATTTTCAACGCCTCAACTAGTGGATCCAATAAAGCTTCTCGCCTGTTTGCTGTTGAGCTGGACACTATTAAAAACCCAGAGTTCGATGAGACAAACAATAATCATGTTGGGATTGATGTGAATGATCCCATTTCAGTCGAATCAGCACCAGCTTCTTACTTGTCCAAAACAGACCAGAAGAATGTGAATGTTAACCTTTCTAGTGGAGAACCGATACAGGTTTGGGTTGATTATGAAGGCACTCTACTTAATGTCTCTGTGGCTCCTCTTGATGTCAAGAAGCCAAGTCAGCCTCTTTTGTCACGTGCCATCAATCTCTCGGAAGTTTTTCAGAGTAGGAGATTGTTCGTTGGGTTCGCTGCGGCAACAGGGTCAGCAATCAGCTACCACTATCTTCTTGGGTGGAGTTTCAGCACAAGCAGGGAACTATTGCAGCCACTTGATAGCTCAACGTTTCCTCGAGTTCCTCGGCCTAGAGTTAAGCATAAGAAACCATATGCGCTGATTATCGGTCTCCCCACTGCACTTGCTATCATGGTAATAGCTGTTCTTGCAGGAGTTTATTACCACAGGAAGAAAAAATATGCGGAAGTGAGTGAGGCATGGGAGAAGGAATATGGTACACACCGCTTCTCTTACAAATCTTTGTACATAGCAACGAAAGGGTTCCACAAGGACGGGTTTCTCGGAAGAGGAGGTTTTGGAGTTGTGTTCAGAGGAGATCTCCCCGAGTCCAAACCTATAGCTGTGAAGAGAGTTTCTCATAATGGCGAGGAAGGGATGAAGCAATTTGTGGCTGAAGTCGTGAGCATGAGAAGTCTGAAGCACAGGAACCTCGTTCCACTTCTTGGGTACTGCAGGAGAAAAGGCGAGCTTTTGCTTGTTTCCGAGTACATGCCCAACGGTAGTCTTGACCAGCACTTGTTTGATGACCCAGGTCTGGATCTTTCGTGGTCACAAAGACTTGTGATTCTCAAAGGTATAGCTTCTGCGCTCTTTTATCTCCATACGGGAGCTGAACAAGTTGTTCTGCATCGAGATATCAAAGCTTCCAATGTTATGTTAGACGCTGAGCTAAACGGTAGGTTAGGAGATTTTGGTATGGCTAGGTTTCATGAACATGGAGGCAACGCAGCCACAACAGCAGCGGTTGGTACTGTAGGGTACATGGCCCCTGAGCTGATAACAATGGGAGCTTCCACTGTAACCGATGTTTATGCATTTGGTGTTTTTATGCTTGAAGTAGCGTGTGGGAGGAAACCTGTGGAACCTGGGATGGAAGTTGAGAAACGGTTTCTGATCAAATGGGTTTGTGAATGCTGGAAGAAAGATTGTTTGCTTGATGCTAGAGATTCAAGATTTGGAGCAGAATTTGTACCCGAGGAAGTCGAGTTGGTTATGAAAATCGGGTTGCTATGTACGAACATCGTGCCAGAATCAAGACCAACAATGGAACAAGTGGTTCTTTACTTAAACGAGAACCTACCATTACCAGATTTCTCACCCTATACGCTTGGGATCGGCTCGTTTACTCCTGTAGTGGTGGATGCAGCCTCTCTTACGGGCACATACACTTCAAGAAACTGGTCAGCTCCCTCAGCATCTTCTTCATCAGCCAACCACTCAAAGGATCATCATGAACAACCATTGGAATCGAACAACTCTCTAAACGTAGTTACAGAATCACAAGACATCGAGTCTCGTCTCTCCAAGCCAACCAGTGGCTGCTAATAAAGTTTTTGAGTATCCATTGCATGTTAGTTAGAACACATCGGCGTTGAGTGATCTCCTCGAGAGTTCATTCTCTTAGGATACTCATGTATAACTTGTGAATGTTTCACTTTCAGGTCTTCTTTGTATTTCACCGTATGTTTTTTTTTTCTGAAACTTTTTAGTGTTTGGGTAACTATTGTTTTTTCTACTCAACGTACATTCTTTGATCTTTTTTGGCTTTAACTGAGCACCACCACTTGTAAGTTGTAACCAACTAAAAATTGATGTTCATTGGATGAGAAAGTTAGGAATACTATTAAGATAAGAACTGTTTTGTTCCATGTGGAGACTGATCTCGTTTGAGTGGATTGAAGCAATGGCTTGATCAGAGATTGTGACTCTGCTTTGACTTGCTCAGCTATATCAAATTCCATATTCTTTGCGTTACATTTACTTGGGAAAGTAGCATAAACTTAATTGGGTTTAAAGATCTTATCTAAAGTTTGTCGAGGAAGAAAAGTTGGTTTATTGTCTCTCTTTGTAGGATGGTTCATGCAGAAGAGAAAATATATAATCATTAAAATCAGACACACTTTCAGTAGTAATGACTTGCAGGCTTCATCTGGTTTTGATCTTCTCCTGCGTTCTTCTGGTTTTCCTGTAAGGTCAAGAAGAAACCGAGTTTGTTTACAGTGGCTTGATGGAGTTGCTAGGGTCCTTCCTGATGGGCTTTTTCAGTTGACAAATGATTCAGAGTTTCAAATGGGTCATGCTTTCGTCAAGCTACCATTTAATTTTGATCAATCTGATACCATCACCTACTATACACTTTTTGTGTGTGTGTGTTGGTGCCTCTTCAGTTGGGAACTAGTGGCAGACATGGGATGACTTTTTTTTGTATCTCCTTCCATGGATCTCTCTTATGCACGCCAAACTCAGTGCTTGGGCGTCTTCAGCAGCTCCACAAATGGAACTTTCCCTTCTCAGCTGATAGCTATTGAGTCATCAGGAATTGATGAGTTGGAAAAGACTCATGTTGGCATTGATGTGAATTTAATGAGGTTAATGAGTTTGTAAATATTTTTCCTGACACCATCAGTTTCAGTTGACATGAATTTAATGAGTTCGTGATAAGAAGTAGAAAAGGTGAAGATCTTTCAGCCGTGTATTAGAATTTTAGCAAATATGTACACAACCATTGACAATACTATTAGTTAATTCCTAGAGATCCAACGCAAGAGCATCTAATTTAAGGCATCTACTCAAACACACCGTGTTTGTGCACTACGCTGAGAGGACAAGCGTCATGGAAATGCTTTAAAACAAAACACTGAATTATGTGAGGTTTGACAGTATTGTCTAATATAAAGATACACAATCTGTTAGTATATTCTCATCCATCATTTATCAATACTTGTATGTATGCCATTACCTTTTGAGTATTCAAATAAAAGATGTGTTAAATCCAATTCAATACTCAGGTTGTGATATGTATATAAATATCACATGTTTCACGTCAAGGTTAAGTAAGACGTAGAACATCAGCAACAAGGAAAGGGGAATCAGGTTGAAGAGAACAACAAGGAGAAAGGAGACACCAACAACGATAAATAGCTCAGGAGAAGTCTATTTGATCTTTACAAGATGTTGTTATGGATAAATGATCTAAAGAGAGCATCATGGTTGAGCCACCAACTACTGAACTGAAAAGAAGCTTCCTTTACTCAGCACCATATCGTTTTCAGAAGCAAACACAAAGTGGGACTAAAACAAATACATAAGTGTAGGGGGTGGATTACTCCATCCTACAAAGCCCATAAGATAGCAAGTTTGGCCCATCTAGGAACGATCCAAGTCGGCCCATCAGCTGATCACGTCTCGGCTCGGCTTAAGTATAGTCGTCAAGACGACTCGACGACTAAAAACAACCGGATGGGAATCCATGTTAACGGACCGGCCCAGAAACCCATCAGCGGGAAGCCTCTGAAGAATGTTCTCTCTTTGTTCTCTCTTTGTGCCTTTGTAGCCTCTTGGATGGACGGAACAGAAAATTATGTCTCAGAAAAGGACACTGTCAAAATTCGGTAGCCAAGAGTTTTGGATAGAAATCAAGAAAGGCTTGGTATGGCAAAAAGTACCAGCTGTTCTTTCAGTTCTCAAGTTTCTACTATGTGATCATAAAACTTAACCTTTCAGGTTTTGGATGAGAGCTTAGGGAGGAAGCAGTCATTACATATACTGAAATTAGTTCTATCCATACGTAAAGTGAGTAAGGCGAGTTCTGAGAAGAAGGCAGAAGAGAACTCAGTTCATTGTGCTTTAACGAACAAGGAGATGTGGCCCGTTAAGGAATGTACTTTAAAGATTCATGAGTTTTTAGTTTTGTTGACTCCAAGATTGCATAGCGGTTTTATTCTAATAACATGTAATGATGTTTATTACAAGTAAAATTGAAATTCTTCAAGATCGTAGCTGCTGTTTCTTTTGCAGTTGACACAATTTCATAATCTTAGCAACTGAGTTTGATGAATCTGGCTAACACCTTCTTATTGGAGAATGTTGTTCTTTTTGAAGAACTGATTCCAAAAACGTATCCCCCTATTTTCATCATTTGTTTCGTGAAATGCAAGGTAAAGTTGTAAGATAATACATTTAATATTATACTATATATGTAATTCATTTAACTAAAATAAGAATACTAATATATGAAAAATAAAAATCTTTAGATCATGTGATAATATATAGTAAATTGTCAGCATATATATATTCTCGGATTTTAATATAATATCATATACAAAATTTTAAACAAACATGTATATCAAAAGGGAAGAACGGATCTTCTGTTGGCAACAAATTTGATAAAATTGGTGGTGTATGATGCAACGTTGGTGATTGCGGATGAGACGTAAGCGGAATGGAAGTAGTGGTAAACAGAGTTGTGGCAGTGGCGGTGAAGAAGTTGCGGCAGTGGCAGTGCAAGGAGTTGGGGCAGAGGTGATGAAGGAGTTGTCGTAGTGGCGGTGGAACGAGGAGTTTCACGATGGTTCTTTTGCACCAAAAAGTAGATCAAAAAAAAGAAAAGAGATAAAGACGGGGAAGAAGGAAAGGAAAAATACGAAATTAAAGAGATAATGCTGACATCTCTTTTCCACTATTCGTTTGATATAAAGATAAAATTAAAGACAATTAAAAAAAAAAAATTAGGCTAAAACACAACCATTTTGTCTAGAATATCTTTTTCATTACATGTTTCAGTTTGATCAAATTAAAAAAAAATTATATATGTATTACCGATTGCAAAACTGTAAATATAGTTATATCGGTAAATCTATTTAATCACTAAAGAAAAAAAAACTATTTATATGTCTGTTTGTTTTTAAGATTGTAGACGATAATTAAATGATTTTAAAGCTCATTAAAAAATAATAATTAAATATATTTTACATAAAAATTTGAATGAACAAGAAAAAAATACTATTTTGATCATATCTAAAGTTTAATTAATTTTTGTTTGTGTAGCTTGCTTTCTTGAATATATTTTTAAGTTATGGAACTTAAATAAGAATAGTACAAATAATTTTAGTTCATTCATGATAAATAAAACAAACAAATTTTTTATTTACCTACCATAATATATTTGCGTAAACCGGTTCATTGTATATTTAAGATATATTTAAATTCAGGTGAAACCAAAACTTAATTTAAAATTATAGAAAACAAAATAACCTACAGTAGTACATTTTAATATAGACTCATATTTTTGTAAAATGAAACAAGATGAATATTATTTAAAACGCTCATAGTATATCAATACTACCATTTTTAAATATACAGACAACTTGTTTTTGTTTTGGACAACATAAACAAGTATTGTAAACAAGCAATAATATATCTTATTTCATATAATCTTTCATGGACTAAAACTTTCTTAAAGACAAAAAAACATTGTTATATACATTTTTTTTTGCAAATGAAATCTTAAAAGACACACAACAAATATATACAAAAAATAATAATCTAGATCACTAGTAAAGTATATCCCGTCCGTAGGACGTACCAATCCTAGTTAAAAATAATTCATGGTTGTGGTCTTTAAACTTGTAACAGATATTTAATAAAGATTGGGTAAAAAGTTAAGTCAGTATTTGCGGACAAAACACCTAATATCTCTATTCTCAAGAACCTTGCCTCGGCAGTTACTTGCATACAGGAGCCACGCAAGTTGTTTTGCGCTAGGATATATAAGCTTCCAACGACATGTTAGATTCTGAGTTCAATTGTAAGTTAGGTGATTTTGGTATGGAATAGTTTCACGATCATGGAGCCAACCTATCTGCAACAGCAGAGATGGGAAACTTCAACAAAAACTAATGTGTATGCCTTTGATGTTTGCCTTCTTGAAGTAATGTGTTAGAGAACCTGACCGGCCAGTAGAAAATAAAATTTTGGTGACGTAGATCTACTAATGCTGGAAACACGCTCGAATGATCCAAGGTTGGGAGGAGAATATTCACGCCTAGAAGTCGAGATGGCTCTAAAACTTGGGATGGTCTCCACAGATGCTACGGCCTACATAAAACAAGTACCTTAACCAGGACCTACCTTTGAATTGTACGTATAAGCTTTGAATTGTTGGTTGATGATAAACTCATCAACAGATAAATAAAGCTAGCCTTGTCTTTGTAAAGCAAGCTAACATCCGTAAAAGCTGTTTATATGTTTACCATAGAAACCAAAAAAGAGATGAGAAATTTAACAATTAACAAATCAACTTACAACATTATTATCTTTCTTTGGAGAAATGCGACTTATCTCTCTGTCTATATAACCTATGATTTGGAGAAGAAAAAAAGGGTTCAGAAATCAACATAAAACTCTCTCTACACAAAAACAATTTGATGTCAGCAGTGCCAAGGGCCTTCCGGAGAAGATGAAGAACAAAAAGTCTCACATCTGATTCACCAGAAACTCCGAGGTATCAACGACAACCATCTTGATTCTTTCCCTGCATCAGACACATATCCAGAGTACCTTCGAGACTTATGAATCCTCATTTTAAGACCCGGAACTTTGCGTGCGATTGCTTGCCATATCATCTGGACTGCATCATCTACCCTCGACGGAAAGTGAAACTCATAGAACTTCTCCACTTCCTTTAATCTATTCCACATCCTTGTCCATTCCTCTTTGGGGATTCCCCTTATTAAGTTAACCAGAAAGTTCTCTTTCAAGGCATCAGAGGTGCGAACAAACACCGAGAACTCAGAGTAATCAATAACGTCCTCGAAGGGCAGCTCAATGTCGTCACTGATAATGACAGGCACGCAGTGGCTTGCAATGGCGTCAAAGAGCCGGTTTGATGAAGGAGTGTCTCCTGCAATGTTGAGGCAAAACTTGGAGTTGTGCATTCCTTGGCTTGCTTTGTTTATGCCTCCGTTTCTCACGCTCCCAAACGAGAAATGCACATCTTTCTCATCTTGCAAGAGGTAGAATAACTCCTGACGCACAAACCCACCCTGAGAAATATATGAGACATAGGAGCAAGCCCTCTTTAGTGTTTGACCTAACTTGTTGTGGTTAAAAACATAGAGCAGGGGACTATGAACTCAAACATCAGAATCTGACAGATACATGTACTCTCATTCAAGAAACTGGGAGTGAATGGAGTAGAGCTTACATGTATATGAGAAAAGCATTATTCTACAAGGATATAGCATAAGACTATCTCAGAACACAAACACCTGAACCTTATTTGCTGAAGACCAGTAATAGAGAAAGGCAAGCATACATGTAGAGTACATAAACACGAGGAGACTATTATATTATTCATAACTCAATAGAGAGAAGCAAATAAAAGGAGTATAGAACTCACATCTTTCCTGTAGATGGCACCCTGAAAGTAGAGCAGAATGGGTCTGGTATCGAAACCAGAAGAATCGTTTTCATATGTTTTGATGACATGCTTATAAGGCGCAATGACATCTTTCTCAACGTTGGCAACAGTAGGAGGATACCTTCCAAAGTCAGAGAGTATAAAGATAGCAGGAAAGAGCTTGTTTCTCGCATCCAACATGCTATTGGGATGATGAGCAAGAACCACATGGTCTCTACCACCTGATCTCTTCCACTCCTCTTGAGCAGTCAAGAAAGCAACAAGCTTCCCTTGCAAATCCTTGTTCCTGCTAGTTTTCTGATGGGGATTCACTTTCGAGAACCGATTATAACTCAAGGACGAGAAAAAGGGAACAAAGATGACATCAGCTTCAGTAGAGTTGTAAACCCTTTTGGCAGCAATACCTCTAGAACCACCGTTTGGATACTCGGATGCAAGAAGATCCAACGTGAGCCAATACTCAATGCTGTGTTGCAAATTCAATCCTCCAGGGTAGGGAGGTATGTACTTGTGAACATCAGGCCATACACTCCCTCCTCTTCCTCCTTCAGGTTTCCAATTTAACAAACCGAAATGAAACTCGGGATCCATGTCGTACATGTATACCTTAAGAGGAGGAGGGCTACCTGTCTCATCCTTAACGCATCTACTACAATCATCTTTCTTTACGCTGGGATCGTGAACGAATGATTTGGACTGAAATGTGGAGCTAAGGAAGCGGTTGTGAGCAGTGGAGCGCAAGACAAAGTAGCAAGAGAGAGCGAAGAGGATCGTTGTGAAGATGAATAGGCAAAGAAGGAAGTTTCGGGCTACGTACCCCATCGTGGAACCGTTCTTCTCCGGCATTGCCATTAAGAAAGAGAAATCACACACAGAGATATAGCTCAAGAAAGATCACATAGGGAGCGAGAGCTTGAATGGTGTTAAGATGGATGTGGACGAAGCTTCTTGTCTGAGACTACTAATTTCATCTCTCATGGAGCGGCGGAGAAGGAGGAGGAACAAACGGTGTTTCAGCTTCAGGGATCGTCAAGTTTCCTATAATTAACTCTTCCACTTTTTTTTTTTTATATTTATTTTATTCAGATCCAGTTATTGTAATAAATAGTTAGTGTAGTTAAAGCAAGATGGGACCTTGTTTGGGCCACAAAACTGAAAGTCGAAATAATGTTTGGTTAAAGTAAGATGGGACCAATTTTATGCCAAAAATAATGTGTGTGAGATGGGACGAAGTTTGGGCCTAAAACCATAGTATCAGGTCAGCCCACGAAATAGTTTTTCTAGTTATTTATTTTTTATAAATAAATTTTATTTGGAACTACGGGCCGCAAATTAAAAATCAAAAAACTTATATTTTAAATTAATCATATTTAACAAATTTATTGGTGACTGAAAATAATTTTTCAATATTTTTTTTTGTTGTTCTTGTTAGAAAGCACACACTTGTAAATTTTTTAATTAATGTAATTATTATTTTTATTTATGTTATGTTTTTATTATAAAATAATGAAAATATTTATAAAATATTGAAATCCAATACATAAATCATTTATCTTCTCTATTTTATATATTTACTAGGGTAAACTCGCCCGTAGGGCGGGCGAGTATATAAATTTTACTTTAAAATGTTTAATTTATTTTCAGTAAAATAGTTTAATTCTCATAATATTTTCACAACAATGTTACTTTAGTTTTACTATTAATTTTATAGATTATCTAATTCATATATAATTATATATATTTATTTATTTTTGCACAGTATTTATATATTTGTTAGACATTTTTTATTTGGAAATATTTGGTTACATATTATGTATAAACTATTACTTTTATGATTTATTTTTTTTTATACAAATGATTGCTCACTACAAAAAAAAGGCTAGTTTACATTATTTATTTTATATATTTGCATTAGTTATAAATGATGTAAAAGACTTTTACATCATTTTAATAAATAAACACAGACAAACCGTAGAAATAGTAATTCCTCTCTTCTTCTCCTCAGGAGCTCTATCAATAAGTATAAAGGAAAGACCTTTGTGAAAAAACTCAACTCTCGTCAATAACACTGTAACACCCGTCACCTCCTACGTGGAGTACAGCGTGTCATCCCCGACGCGTCAACAAATAACAATGTGCCACCCGTCTCCCTCTCTCTAGGACGACGGGCCACCTTAAATATCTCGAAACATAAAAGCCCAAATGCCCAACTACACTCGCCCAAGCCCAAATAAAAATCCGAATAAAAAGTCCAATAGCACCAAATCCNTGTAACACCCGTCACCTCCTACGTGGAGTACAGCGTGTCATCCCCGACGCGTCAACAAATAACAATGTGCCACCCGTCTCCCTCTCTCTAGGACGACGGGCCACCTTAAATATCTCGAAACATAAAAGCCCAAATGCCCAACTACACTCGCCCAAGCCCAAATAAAAATCCGAATAAAAAGTCCAATAGCACCAAATCCGTCCAAATATCACCATAATGCTTGTCTCACCTGAAATGGGAAGAAAGAGGGGTGAGCGACTGGGAAGTCACTCAGTGAGGTATGGGATGCTACTCCGAAGTCCGTAGACCCGGACATAGCACTCCAAATAAATATAAATTAATTCTAATGCATGTCAAACACGGTACCTAAAGTACCCAAACAAACAAACAATGGTCCTAGCGAGGTGCACACCCGCTGCCCACTAACAGGCCAAAAATACTACCCACACCTGGGCTACAACAACTCGAGATAGTGCTCGGACACCGCCCGTAGACGATTTATCGACACCACCAGGTTACAGCTCAACCGGTCGACTATAGTTGGCCGTAACCTTCCAAACAATCCGGAATACGTTAGCACCACCACGCTGTGTATCCGTCACACACAATTCGGCATACAGTAGCACCACCACGCTCTGTATCCGTCTCACACAATTCTAACTACGAATTTTTACATTAAGTGAAGCAAACAATGTTGAACCATCTGACACCCTATTCCGGTTTATGCAAAGAATTCTAAACCTAAACAAGCAGACACCAATCAGACCCTAAATTAGACTTAATTCACAAAGACGGAACACATTAGAAATAAATTATATTTATTTAAAGTTCTAAATCGCGTACGAATCGCTCGGAAGTAGACCCTCACCTTAGCAACTGGGGAAAAGTGGTCTCTATGAGCTCCAGCTGCTCAAATAGATCCCAAATCTGAAATCAGATCAAAATTCCGAGTCAGATTGACCTTCGAACGGGCGAAAACGGGCGATTACGGAAAAGTCAACCCGCTGGTCAAAGGTCAACCCGGTCAACTCTGACCCAAGCCGGTCAACCCTTGACCAAATTGAAATCGAATTGGACCAACCGGTTTTCCTTAACCGGATTCGATTTCAATTGAACCAAAACCAAATCAATTACAAATCGGTTTACTCCTAACCAAAATTCAATTGATTTTAACCACCGGTTTACCTTAACCAAATCGCAATTCAATTGAACCGGTCAAACCACCGGTTTACCAAGTCAACCGAGTTGACTCGCTGGGTTGACCCGGCCGAGTTGACCGAGTCACCGGCGAGTCANGGATTCGATTTCAATTGAACCAAAACCAAATCAATTACAAATCGGTTTACTCCTAACCAAAATTCAATTGATTTTAACCACCGGTTTACCTTAACCAAATCGCAATTCAATTGAACCGGTCAAACCACCGGTTTACCAAGTCAACCGAGTTGACTCGCTGGGTTGACCCGGCCGAGTTGACCGAGTCACCGGCGAGTCAACGGCGACGGTCACCGGCGGCGACGGTGGTCCGGCGGTGGTCCGGCGGCGGTCCGGCGGTGGCCCGGCGGCGGCGGTCCGGCGGTGGCCCGGCGGCGGAGGGGCGGTCCGGCGGTGGCCCGGCGGCGGCGGTCCGGCGGTGGCCCGCGCGCGCGGAGGGGAATCTTGCGGGGGCGCGTGACGGCGGCTCCGAGCTCGGATTTCGACGTTTTCGGTGTCTACGGCTTCGTCTCGACGAGTAGAACACGGTGGTGGCCTTGCATGCACGAGATTCTCGACGGTTCAGAAGTTATTGACGATTTACTAAACGGAGAAAACAAAGCTTCAACTCACTGCGATTTCCGGTTACTTTGGCCGTGGTGGACGGTGGTGATGAGCTCTGCCTGGTGACGACGAGTGGTGGTCCGGACGAGCTCCGGTGATGGCTCAGACACATGGGTTTCTCCATTTCTCCTCTCTCTCTCTCTCTCTCTCTCTCTCTCTCTCTCCTTTCTCTCTCTATAACTTCTGATTTTTCAACAAAAATGAGCTGATGGGGTGGGAGCTAGGTATTTATAGGAGGAAGGGGTATGGGATGAGTCTTAGCTGGCTAACTAATTTGGTAACGGAAATTCGGGTCGTTACAATTCTCCCCCACTAACAAGGAATTCGTCCTCGAATTCGAGTCGTCTGTTAGCTGACCAAAATCATGGCAACAAAACTCCGAGTAATCAATTTTCTTGGTTTCTAAGATCTTCTTCTGAACCCCAACTCTCTCTCAACAACTCTGACAGACATTGGCGACATTCTCCGAAGTGCTTCCACTTGACTATTTCAATTCCTCGCTAACTGACAAGATGAATCCAAACTCGCTGAGGTCATCTAGTGATTGCTGTAACCTATCTCTGGCTCTGTCAAGACTGTCTTTAAAGCAAAAACCTGAAAATCTGGTAACTTTATTGATGAATTCAATCCCAAAGCAACTCTTACAATCCGTTCCACAGTAGAATACAATCCTATAATCTTGGTTTACGCTTCATTAGCTTCCGAGTCTTATATCCTCCTTTAAAATGTCCTTATTTTCAGTTATACTCGGTCGCCTACCTGAAACTTCAATTCCTTACGATTCTTATCTTCATACTCTCTGACGATCATAGCCGTCCCAAAGCCAACTTTGAGCATGTCCACTTGCTCTATCATTTCTTGAACCATTGATGGTTCTACATCTTGTTGCTCCCCCACTTTTGTTCAGACTTATCATGAAAAGCTTCATATGGCGCTGTCTCAATATTTTAATTGCAACTGTCACTGTAGGCAAACTCTGCTAGAGGTAGACGCTTCCATTACTTTCTTTCCACTGTAAGGCACAATCTCTGAATATATTCTCAAAACTCTGACTGGTTCTCTCTAAATGACCCTCTGTCCCTGGATGATAAGTAGTATTCAAATAGATCTTTGCTCCAAACTCCTTCTAAGAAATTCTTTATATGTAGACGTTAATTGACATCGCGACCGATAGAATGCTTACAAGAACTCCATGCAATCCTTACAATCTCTCTGATGTACTCTGTGCCAACTCGCCAGCTCCAACTGCCTTCAAAATTATTCGGGAGATAAATGATTTAGTAAATACATCCACAATTCCTCATATCCTCTCTACACGTGATGATTCATAATCCCAAGGTTTCGTTTCCACTCTGGCCAAAGAAAACTCAGCAATAACCTGATAGGTATCCAGTCTTCAAACATAACCATCAGACACTGTGACGCAACGCTACAATCTTTTCCAAACTAGTCCAATGATAGTAACACTTCATATCTAGTAATTCTGGGTGTTTTTCGGGTGGACATAGAAACGCGAGTGATGTGTTTGCTGTAAGATCATTTTTGTTAACAGCTCAACGTCCAACACACCAACTCAATTCACTTACAAAAACAACCTGCTCCAAAACTGTATGATGTACATCACTCTCAACCTCGATCCACCTAACCAATCCATATTGCTATCATGAGTTTGGTGTAATATCCCTAGTAAATTTGTATGTTCCAATGCTCCAATGCTTCAATGCCAACTGTATCCTCCTCTACTGAACTGCACATAATTTTAAGGCTTGTAAGCGTTCCAGCAATTCTTGATCCTCCGTGGTTCCTGACATACCTCTCATGTACCTACTTAAGACATTTACCACTTGGTTGGCCTCACCAAATGGCATTCTACATTCAATCTGTAGACTGCTACCAACTCAATCCATATGCGCGTCCTAACGTACAAGTTTAACGTATGCGCACATATATTTCAGACTCTGATGATCCCC